AGTGTGGAGCCTGCAGCTTGCTACAGTGTGACCTCTACACAGAGCTGCAGAAAACACTTCATGGTAGGGGAGGTCGGTGAGATGACTTACCAGGTCATGTGACTGGACTCTCCTTTCCCTGACACTTTTTTTTTATACTGTTCATGAAAATTAATGATGCTTGGATTGTTTTTTGAGTCCCGAAGCAAGCAAAAAGACCAATCATGCTGTGCTTTAGAAGTTAAACCTGAATGTAAAAAACTTGTGAGCAGGAAGGATTTTTATTGCTGACTTATTATGCCTCTTCTGCGATAAAGGCTATTGCCTTCCTCCTCACAACCTGCTTTAGAAGTTTACAATCTGTGCACACCTCACGTCTGGGATGAACGAACTCCTGTGCACATGTGTGAGAATCATTTCATTCCAGCTCAGACAATGTAGATGGCCAAAAACCCCAAACCTAGAGGAAGCCAGGAAGACATCAACGCCGGTTAGGGAGACTACAGACCCTACATCGCTGGAGGGAGAGCCGAGTGGAGTGTTTTGTTGCCCCTAGGAGGGTGGGTAAATGAGAGGTTGGGCTCACAAGAAATGGGCAGAATACAGTCCCTGGAATTCATTACGCGAGTCAAAGGTGCCACTTGTCAACCACCTACTGTACATTGATTTCAATGGAAGCTCGCCTTAAACATACATTTAACGGATGAGATACAGTTAGAGAGTGTATACAAAGCACTAGGGAAAAGACTTAGGAGAACCAAGTGTCCTCATATTGGTTCTGCATCGTATCAACTGGGGTCTTAAAGTAATTTTTTTACATATATCTACTGCTAGTTGCAGTAGATATATGCAAAAACATTAAAAAAAATAAAAAAAAGTTACCACATAGGTAAGATCTTACCTCTGTCTCCGCCACTCGCCCCCAGCTGTAGATCTGTAGCTTCTCGAGCAGCCATGCAGGAGGATGAGTGTAGACGCATGCGCAGCAGAGATCACTGATAGGGAGAAGAGGGGAGACACAGTGAGAGTCAATGCACGCAGCCATGAGCATGCACGTCGGACAGACACCAAGGGGCATGAGGAGCCTGGGCTGGGCCAGAGACTGGCACCAGCGCTGGAACGATTGCTGAAAACAAGTGGAAGGAAGAAGACTTGTGACTTTAATGTCACTTTAAGGATCTTCAGCAAGGCATCAAAAGTTGGCACTCTCATGCAGACAAACGTCTGGGTGTCCGTGCACAACTCATGGAACAAAGTGTGAAGAAAATCCCTGTGGCACAATCAGATGCACAGTATGGACATAAACCCCTCTACTGCTGGGTTATGCAATCCAGTCAGCTGGATCAAGCCGAGCACCAGAGATGATAGTGTGGGAATCTATGCTATTGTCTTAAAAAAGGCAGTTTGGTATAATGAAGCAGCCTGAGGCGATTGACTCAGGCGGCATCTCATTGGGCCCCCCTTTTCAGCCACAGGTTAAGAGCTCTTAGCTCTTGTTGGTGTCCCGCTTAGCTCCTGGCAACCAGTGAGCTGGGCAGGACACCGGGCAGAGGTACCGAGCACACCCTCACCCACGTTGTGCGTGCTGGCACCTACCCCAACCCCACCCTCCAGGTGACGAGCACCAGGCTACCTCAGGTGGCAAGAAGTATAGGAACGCCACTGTATATAATAGAGCAAACAGTAACAAAGGAACCCCGAACAAATTCCAGATATCACATCACAAACTAGCCATGCCTGAAAGATCATCACTTTCTTCTTCCTTTACATCACTTCCCTTAAACTGTAAAAAAAAAAAAAAAAAAAAAATTTGGTTTGGAGAGGGCTTTTTTAGATGACTTTGCACATTATTGTGTTC